ATAAAGAAGACCTACAGAGAGAATCTCTCGTCAACTAGTGCCTAAATATATATTTTTCATTTACTATGTTCTATGAATTATAAATTGTTCATAATAATATTTCAAAATATTTATAGTTGTGTTTATATATACGTTACACACCTTTTCAAACTTGCGCACTACTAGCTTTTTATTTTAATTCCTGGTAATTTAAAGTTTCGCTTAGAATGACGGAGTAGATGGATGGACAGATAGGAGCAAAAACATTTACATTCTTTAGTTAACTAAGAACATATGTATAAGTTTGATGGATGTTTCAACGATGCAAAGGTGAATTTTGGTATCTTCTCACGTTTAAAAAGCAAATTCTTTGTAACCGTTCGTTTCTTGCACATCATCCTGTATATGTATGCTAGCATAGGTTTTTAATGTTTTTTTTTTTTTTAATTTGTAAAAATTATCTAACACAAGGTTGACATAAAAATTTTATTTTACAAAAAATATCTTTAAGCTCTTGAAATCGCTTGGCACTACATTCTTATAAAGAACTCAGCCGCAAACACACGTGACTTGTGAAATTAGGTAATCAATTGTTATAAACGAAGCTAAAACCTGCTTGTTCTTTATGCAATTTCAAGAAAAAATTTTTATTGCTTATGGCCTTCGTCTTCATAGATGTACTTCAACAGAGATGCACACCGCAAATAAGAAATATCGGTCAAGAAGTTCGTGGACTAAGTAAAAAGACATATTGCAAAATTCGACGATATACGTGAACGTAGTCACTTCGAAGAGTTATCCAGTCAGCTCAATATTTCATTATCATTTCTTGCTGCTCTTTTTATAAAACCCTTTGCCAGGATCCCCATAAATTCTTGAGTTTCAGCAAGAAAAAAAAGAAATGAATACTTTACTTCCATTTGTTGTATATATATTTCTTTATCATTTTGATCAATGCTGGTCAATACAACTTTTTTTAACGAGTGAAAGCAAAGAAAGTTCTCTCAATGCATTCATCCTCTTCGCTATCGCCTAAGCCTAGCGAATAACTAACTAACTAGCGAATAGCTAGATTAACCATATGCGTAGGCACTGTGGTTGTCGGGAAAGGAGAAAGGGAATAGTTTTTGTGAACATTCAACTTGAAAAATAAAGACATCGTGCATCATCATGTGGGAAACATTGGTAGGTTGTTTGAAATTATTAAAAGCCGAGAAGCCACGGTAGTCTCTTGCGCGGTCCGCCGGTACCTTCAGGACGAGTGGATGGAAGCGCTGAGAAAGCCGTGTAGTCTTGTTAAAGGGCTTAATTGGTGGACAAATATCATTTATCGACCGTCTCCCAGAAAAGTTTGAAGGCTTCCGTGCACATGCGAGTTGCACTTTAATTCTAGCCGAATATAGACGGCGTCAATGACATGAACATCGGCTGTAGTACGTTCAACTAAATCGTTACGTACGTCAAATAAACCTAAGCTTTTGACTGCGTTGAGAATATCAAAGGTTGCCGATTCTTCTACATTGACACCACCCAAAGAGAAAGGGTTCGTCATCACTTTTCCTGTGCATTAGAAGGGAGCTTTGAATTTTGGTGGCATCGAAATTAACTTAGCCTTATATCTTGCATTCAATTAAACTGACTATTGGCCTTGTCAAGCAGAGAGATAAATAAGTCGTTGCCTCGACGTAGCGAGCAATTAGACGAGCTATTGTCTGGAACAGGCGAGAAAGTAAACCAATTATTGCCTAATTCTGGCGAGCAATTAAATTAGCTATTGGCTCGACTGATCGCGTAGATAAAGTAGCGACTAGACTAAGCTACTAGTTAAACTAGCTTCTAATACGTAGAGCTAGTGGACTAGAGAGCAATTAAGTGAACTAGTGAGCAGACTATTACTTAGATCTAATGAGCAACTAACTACTGATTAGTCCTCTTTTATTTTTGCCAAGGTCCGAACAAATTTCACTTAAGTGAGCGAAAACATATGTCATTTATACGATTTCATTGATCTCGATTATATATGTGCGTGTGCATATGTGTGCAAGTAAATATATCAACTACTTTTGTGTGCAAATATTATAAGTGGTTTTCAATTTATGTAAATTCCAATAACTCTTGACAAATAGCTGATTCTCTACCCCCACACATAACGATCATAAGTAATACTACGGAGATGTGTATATACTCTGACGATTCGTTATGGTCTTTTGCTTCTGACTTTTTTTAAATTATGATTTCTTGAGTTTCATTATTTTGATGGCATTTTTCTAATTATAATCAACTTGATATTTACACTTCATACTTCGTTAATTACTTTACTTTATACCGGCTTATATATATACATATACCAATACAATGTATATACAACAGCTACACAATATATGCTTAAATAGATAAACAGATCTAAAATAAATAACGTCACCTTTGTATACCAAACAATTCAAGTAAATTTGTTTTGCTTTTTTTTTTAACCTTGGCTTCCATTTCTTTTGAATTATCATTTCTATATGATTCAATTGCTGCGTGCTTAAGTGTAAAACTTCCTCGCACGTTTTTCGTGTTTGTATAACGATGCGAAGATTGGCTGTTAAAATAAACAATCGATACTTGTTAAAGAACAATATTTTCAAAAAACGGAGAGAATCTTTCACGTTACAATCAATTTAAAGTGGAATTTTTCAAAATAAGCGAAAGAGAACACTATTCGCGGTAAAGACGCTTGAAGAAAAAAATGATGAAATTGTTCGAAACTAATTGCGTTTCTTCTTATTTTAAAATTCATGAATTTTCATTTGCTAACCAACTAAATGTTGAGCGGCCACGCTTGATTTTCCCTATTTTCACTAAAAAAGTTTTTGCCGCAAGGCCGTATGGACGTTCTAGCCATCGCCTTTGAAAGGTTTAGGTCCAAAAATTGTACGCAATATCTTCATTTTCACTAGCGGAAAAATCTTCACCAAATACAGCACACAGTACTACAGGTAGACGGACAGAAGGACACACTTAGGTTGATTCAAAATTTGAAACTTTTGGAGTTTATTCCTACGCGTTATAAAGGTATTGGAAAAAATTGATCTTTAATACTCGTTAACATTAGGAGGGCGTCGTCAAATTTTTCCATATTTCCATGTACAGCATCGCTCATAGAATACGCGTTTTGATTTTTAAACATACAACTGCTACAGTTTATGAGTTATGACCAAAAAATCAATTTTTATTCTTTTCGAAAAACAGAGATGTTGTCACTTTACATAGTACTGTAAGCGTGTCCTTCAACAGATTCAATACCAGCCTACGTGCAAAAACTTCCAATGTTTCTGCACAAATTTGAAGCCGATAGCTCAATTTTTGCGCTCAGAAGAATGTTTACAATACTCATCACATAGGCGGACAGACGGACTTGCTCAAATCAATTTAGAATTTGATGCTGGCCAAGAATATACATACTTTTTGAGTTCTCTGAAGCTTCCTTCTGGCCGTTGCAAACGGACGGCCTTCCCTTTGGCCGATTGATAGATGTCTGGTAAATTAATTAATACATGCAAAAATGGAAAAGGGGATATGACGAGTAAGTTTTCCCCTTTTACCTATTTTTACTTTTGAACACATGTCACGGATGCCTGCGGGTAATGGTGGTAATTGATCAACAGCACAGTGGAAGCCTTATGGCGGAAGCAGTCAGTTGATCAATTTGTGAGTCCTGACTGCTTGGGTGCGGCCCTTCGGGGAGTACTCGTGGTGGTTGTGGTTGGCGAGTTCCTAGCTAAAATGGAACAATTGAGTGCAGCTAGGCCTCGCCATTGACCAGAGTGGGGTTTATTGTTCCATACACAATAAACTGTTCTGGACTCTGGTGCTGTTTAGGCCCCTACTCTGTGGGGATTGTCTAACTCGCCAGGGGGCGTAGTACGCTTAAAAGTGGCTTGGGCCACCGTGGGGTTAAGCCTTTCAGGCAGGAACCCACGTTAAACCCTTGCCACAAATTCTGCCGCAAATTCTGGCCGTTGCAAACATGTTGACGCATATATTCCCCTTTCATCGGTAGCGAGAATAATATGTAAAAACACCGTAGCAAGACACGGGTAACCTTTAAATATCTTTCACCGCTTCACTCACTTAATTCAGTTATTCACAAAACGACTTTTGAAAACAAGTCAACATTGTTGTCATCCACGTCACTGTACCAAATTTCATCAAAACATTTCAGAAGTTCCGATCTGTACCTTGAACACAAGAAAATAGGACGGATAGAGAGACAGACCAGCTTACATCGATTTAGGATCAATTTCTGATAATAAAAAATGAATCCATCTCAAGTTTTCCTTGGTGTTACATACATCCGCATAAACCTGATAAACCCTTGCATCAGGAGTGGTGTAGGGTATAAAAAAACGTATATTCGACTTTCATTGCATAATTTAATACTCTTAAAATCCACATAGCAACACTCTATAAATGGAGATATAAACCATAAAAGCTGACTATATAAAGTTGGATGCGTTTTTGGGCGATCTCCGCAACTTTTAAACTTGAAACTTTGAATCAGATCTTCTGTTTAATCGTAATTTCAAGGAAGTGAGAAATAAACAAGCCACGTGCCGGTAAACATGTTCCATTATTCGTAGAAGTGAAAAGTGTAGAATTTTTAGGTTGGGTAATCATAATTTTAATTTCCGCCACTCACGCTGAATAATTATACCTACTACTACAGCGTCTGTGATTGCGTGTTTCTATGCTGACATTTTACAAGGTCGCAAAGTTTTCCGCCCAAAGAGTCAATAGTTTTCTCTTTTTTAAGACAAATATTAAATTATAAAAATCTTCGACATCGGCTATAAGAGTCAAATTTATCATTGCGTAATAGTTCCCTTCCACTCTCTCTTGAGTGTTCCAAATATACGTAGTTGAAACTCTCTCTCCCTGTTTGACTATCTTGCGAACTAATGCAATTTTTAAAAAGATGTATTTCACTTTCCGGACAAAATTTATTTCAATGATTATAAAAATTTTGAGGGAATTAAATCTCAATTTGGATATGAAAGACACAACAATTTTTATAATTAAATGCAAAAGTTACATAAGAGATTTTACATAAACTTTTCACGGTTTAGATAATGATTGTTTGGCGCGGCTTCCATTTCCTTTTTAGCATGCTTCTGAATACAATCCACCACAGGGTTGCCAGTTTCGACAGCTTCTGTTAAACCATTACGTACCGCAGCACATGTGATTGTTTTCAGGTCTGTCGCTAAATCTAAAGCTGCAAAAACGCGAATCATGGATGTCGTAAAACCGATTCCATAATTCCCAAATTCACCGCATTGATAATCATTCGATAGCATATAATGATACTGTGGCCAATACGTTTTCGTGATGAAGAAGACACTATTCGAATCTGCAGGACGGAAATTCTTATCCAAACCCCATATGAAGTGACACGAGTTTATAAGCCAACAGATATTCGAAACAATCATGTAACGCAAAGAGAAAGATACAAAAATTGAATTTCCCAATGTTTCACCAAAGTCGGCGAGCGGGGTATTAATCGGTAATAAAACGTGTAAAACAACAAATAAAATCCAATAGAATCTATAAATGGAACAATGGATACAAACAAACCATCAAAGCATTTTTCAGAATAAATCAATTAGCGCATATTGCGATTACCTTTTCTGAAACATTACTACCTTATCCTCTTCCAAGTCGGACATGTCAATCTTAGCGAGAAGTGCTTCTTGGTCAGCAGTTCGACTAAGCACTTGAGCATAAACGTGCGCTCTCAAAAAATCACGATTACTGTAATACGGATCTTCGGGTTGTCCGAATTTCTCGTGATGCAAGCGATGCAAACGTACCCAGTTATAAATCGAACCCTACAGATGGGAGCAAAAGATATTAAAGATTAATAGAAGTTTTGCTATTAAAAGATGTTCTTGTTAATCTGAAGCTCAACTTCTGCTCACTTACCTGACCCACCAGCGTTTGGCAAAGCATAAGAAATACTTTTAAGGAGGTTGTAGCATTGTAAGCGCCATGTGCCCATAATCTGTGCGCACCCGCTGTAGCTCCCAGTATACCCAACGCAGTCAAAATGAATGCTATAATCCAATTTTTTTTATTTTTTATTTTGTCGTAATTAACTTTAACTTATTACTCACTAAATATAATCGTTAACCAAGACGCGCTAGTTAGCACCGCAAATAAACCGTAAAACCCAAGAGTATGCAAATGTATGTAAAATAAAACGGATGGCCAACTAGTCTCACGTTTCTTATCACCCTCTGACGTTGGCTTGGTATCAAGAGGCATTTCATTTTTACTTATGTCATTCTCTTTAAGTGGTTGTTCTTCGATTTCCATCGCGTAATTATTCTACAAATTATAAAAGCAAATTGAAAAATGAAGTTCACATATTACACGACCTTTGAATTCAGACTGATTTAATTGGACTTTTAATCGAAGTGGTTAAAGATGAATATTATTGTACGTTTAAATACAATTCTAAAATAATCTCTACATTGTTTTTTTAAACATATACGTCGATAATTGTAACATGGTGCTAAAGTTGCTTACTATTTTAACTTGCACTTAAAGTACTGCTTAAAAAATGCAGAATTTTTAGAAATATAACAAGTCATAAGCAAGTCCATTATGAAATAAACTATTGCTTTGACAGCGTAGATAACTTGCGAAAAACAACGGGTTACAGGCGCAGAGCAGCTTCTGCTTGCTTTGAGCAAAGACAGGGAGGGTTTAGTCTTAAGATTCTGTCAGTCGAGATTAAAGCGACTTCCTAATCACCACTTGCTTCAAGATGAATCTTTCAGAAACTTTCTTCTAACTTGATCCAAATCCACTCTCTTTGCTAACGTAGAGGGGTAAATGGTTTCCGCATATTTATTGGCCTTTAGATGAAGCCAAAATACATAGAAAATGAATTTAGGGTTTTGTTCACTCATTTGAAAGCCAGTTGTCTTATGTAAGAGCACATGACTAAAGTAGAACGTGAAATGACGTGAACGCCGTGTTAGCGTGAAAGTCATCAAAATTAATGCGATCTAACCTTCTTTCGGATAGTTTTTGAAAAAGCCAAGCCGGAAGAGATTTTACAATTATCATTGGATTTCGGAATAAACTAAAGAAGGTAGAAGAAGGTTTCCAAACCCTCCAACCAATTTTATAATTCTTTCCAATGCCACGTGCCTTTACCTTTTATGGTCAGCGTAGATTTTGAGCAAGTGTTTTTTTGAAAAGCAAAGAAAAGTTTAATGTGCATATATCGCTTTAGATCCATCACCAATGTAACAGGTATAATTGAAAAATGCCTTTGTCATTCTCCAGAGACTAGTTACGACAACACTTCATTTTGACCGATAAGTACATGGGCGCCTTGAAGCCAAACCGAAATCTGGTGGTTGCGTATAATGCTTTCAGTTGCCGTCACGAACCAATTTAAACGAACGGAAAGGTATATCGTTCATAGCGTAGAAATGTTACTTTCTGCGTAATGAAGGACGGCTAAGCATATAAAGCCTTAAGTGTTTGCATTTAACAAACTTATGTCCAGTTGAAGAGAAACTTGCTACTGCCAACTGCTTCAATTTGTGAAGAAACAGTAATCGGTTGATATTACATCTTTAGAGCCAAACCTTGATCTAGAAGTAAGAACGTCTTGCTGACCACATAAGCATTTCGTGTAGAACGACAAGTGATGAAAACTGAACGTTAATGATAACTTGATTTAAGAAAAATCCGATATGTAGGCATCTGTGAAGCTTTGATCCCACTTACAGTACCGATTCTTCTTCTTTACATTCATACATACTTTCGATTTGTTTCATTGCCGGTTCGCTTGTTACTTCAAAATTAATACAGATTTCTAAGTACTTTCTTTAAGCACTTAAGAACAAAAGTAATTTTTAGATTGAATATTCTCGTAGCTTATTATACAAGAAAAAAAGAAAAAGAAGAGAAAAATATCACTTTACTTGAAAGATCAGAAATTATTTCTTTTTACTTTAATCCAGCACTTTTTTAGAATATACTCCCCTTATAACTCTGTTTAAGATACATTTTTGTTTCTAATAAATGATAGCATTTAGAAATCTTCCTGAGGACGTTAAAAATGCCAAAAGTGTTGTATAAATTTTTCAATTCTTTTACGCTTTCGTATATAAATTATTAAATAATCACTTTTCATGTAAATACCTCTTGAAAAGGATTCCCGTATACACAACACCTTAATTAGCTCGTTAAGACTTGAGCTTACTGCGTTCGGAAAGCTACTAAGCGATTAACAAAACATTTTATATATGTATATGGGCTATTGAAACTCATTGCTTGAAGATGAATTAATTAAGAGCTTCGATTACACAATATAGTACACGATCGGCGACGAACCCTTAAATTAAAATTCGACACTCCACGCTCATGAAATTCTTTCGTTTTTTGTAAAGTCACATTTCATCATCATTTCAATTTTTAATTTATTTATTCTATTTAATAAAAGAAAGGAACGAAACTATTTTGTCATTTTATTAAGCTCTTGTAAATCTTCTGGCATTAGATCTTTATCACCATAACCCCAGACTTGATTTTTGTGGGCAAACTCATCAGTAAGGAAACGGGAACCGTCTCCGCATTTCAAAGCACGTCGTTTAATCATATCGCACGAAACTAGTTTACCTAGAATGAAATCAACTTTTTTATTCCTTTCGTCTTCTTTTTTGCTTTCATCTCCAATAAAGTTGTTGCACTTACGTCCATTGGCTAGACCAAATTTAGCACAAATGTCTATGAAAGCGGTTGTAACATTTAACTTGTAATTACCGAATTCACCGGTTTTATAATCCCACGGGAAAACGTGATGATAGTTATGCCAACCTTCGCCTAAAGCTAAAAATGATACCATCGGGCTTTCGACGGGGCTAATGTTCCTGAAACGAACGTAGGTAATAATGAAGATAAAAAAAAATGCTTAGTTTCTATACTTTATGCGACAACTTACTTATCATATGGCTTACGGCCCCACATATGGGCGACGCTATTTACAAAAAATGCCACATTTAAGGTGCAACAAAAGCGCATATTAAAATTGATCCAAAATGAACGCCATAAACATTCGTCCCATTGATACCATGGAATCAATGCAGGCAAACCAATCGAACAAATTGCAAACAATGGTATAAACCAACGACGTTGAAACATAACGACCGGATCTCGTTCCAAATCTGACATATCGATAATTTTTCGCTTCTCTACAACCTTAGGATGCGGAGTCAAAAACAGCCAGCCGACGTGAGCAAAAAAGAAACCTCGCTTAGCATTATGCGGATCGGCATCAGTTTCTGAGAATTTGTGATGAATTCTATGATCCAAAGCCCAAGTATACGCATCACGCTATAAAAAAAATACAAAATTTATACAAAAATTTTAAAAACACCTTTAATGAAATTAAAATTACATCCAATCATACCTGACCCGCTATGGTGAACAAGAACATTAACAATATTCGTAATGTTAAAGAAGCATTATATGATTTGTGGGACCACAAACGATGTGCGCCGGCTGTTATGCCAATACCTGAAACCCATATGATAATGATGACTGCAAATATTAAAAATAAAACCAATTAGAATTCAACAACGTAGTGTATACATGTAAAGTTTGGCATTAGAGAGACATGGACCGCCATATTTCATCATCCATCGCTTACTTGATTGAAAAAAATGTATTCTGAAAAGAAAAGCAAAGCAAAAGCCTACCAAACACTACATAGTAAGGAAGCGCAACATTCTATGACACCCGTATAAAACTTATCGTAACACCTTTCCTATAAAATAGTCCACAGTCTGTGAGCTAAGGGACAAAAAGAAATCAAACAAAAACATACATAAATTCTTTTAAGGCGGAAAACGATGGTAGGGAAGATCTTAGGGCGAACCAACGAAGGTTGCAGTAGGAGAAGGATCAGCGTAGTCCAAAATTGCTTCGGAACGATTCAACTTACAATCAACTTGCAATGAAGAAGAGAATGTTTATTATCAAGGGAAAACGAGGAAGGGGCGCTTGCGCTAAAGTAGTATACCTTAAACGGGTAATATCTAACACGTAAGGCGTTTTAATGCGAATAGTGGGGAGCACTTAAAGGTAAAATCGATTCAAGCTAATGACTAAAACTGAACACGATGCGAAATGTTTGCAATGCTTTCAGTACTACGGATTTTGTGATCGCTAACACGTAAGCTAGAAAGGAAAGCAGGTTACCGTTACTTTAATTTTCTATTTAACAAATAGCTAAGCGGATAAAGAAAAAATATTTAAATTTCTGTTCAACGCAAAGTTTGAACAACCGAAGTCTAATTTAAAGCTTTTATATGTAGGCTTAATCACGCCTCCCTACAGTCTTGCGCTGTAAGCACTGTTGTAAAGAAGATTGAGTACCTGCTACCTAATTTTAATGTGATCGCTTTAATATCTTGAGACAAAGGGAAAAAAAGAAACGACCTTAAATTCGGAATTGTAGACAAATGATCAATGAGCTTCCCTCCAATAAAATAGAGTTGCTGCCTGTAATTAGAAGGGAGGTTAGACTAAGACAACCGGATAGTTCTACCTTATCCGCGAGCGGGTAGTACTAGCAACCATCCTTCTTTTTTGCCACCACTCTGGATCTTATTAGTACAAAGCGAACGCGATCGCAGATGTTTCACTTGAAATTCCAACGTCCAGCACACCTATGTCCAGCAAATATTTTCAAATCAATAAAAAAAAATTCCAGAGGGAAAAATGTTATATAACACAACATATGCGAGAAAAAAATAAAAAAGTCGATTAAACTAATTAACGTTCGGTACCGACAAAAGGCACGTAACCACATAAGGGATTAGAAGAAACCCACTCACAATATTGTGTCAATTCTCTATTAACTGTGAACGAAACCAAGAAAGAGTTGAGTCAGTACCTGAAGAGAGTAAAGGAAGCAATTCGAAAGCAGGTCATAGCTTATAGCAGACTCTCAACCAACAAGCAGGCGGATAAGTAGCGCTGGCTAAGTCAACTTCGCCATTCGCGCCAATCAAGTATATCGCGACTCTAAAGCCTTTGCGTTACAAGAACTTGATATTCAATCCCAATCAACGATTAAAGCGATCAATCGAATTGAGTTCGAAAATCAAAAAATCCCGTCATTTTAAATAACTCGCAGCGATAACATCTGTAAACTGTACAACTTATACTTATATTTTCATAGCGGGTAATAGATTCATGAATTCACACTTACCCCAAAGAAATGTTAATAATTTCGCTGAGAACAATAAATAAAAACCATATAAGCCGCCTACGTGTAAAAATAATTGTGCCATTAAATCTAACCATCGTATTTTTGGTTGATGTTCTTCATGGCTTAACGTTTCTTCCATTATGTTTGCTGGCATTAGTGACTCCTTGGCCTTAATTAATTCCTTATAGACGGCATTTTCTTCGTTATAACCTAAATTATCATCTAAGCATTTGGTTTGTACATGTTGTTGCTGTTGCGGTTGTTGTTGTTGTTGTTGTTGTTGTTGTTGTCCATTTAATATATTTTTTTGTTTACGCTGTTTAATACTGTTTTGGTTAACTTCATTGTTATTGCCGTTGCAATCTGTTTCTAATTGTAGTGTTGCCGGTGATGATGATCTATTTAATACACATTGACTAGAAGAACATGTAGGAGGAGTTGTCGTAGTTGCGCTTGATGTTGATGCAATTATTGTTGAGGCGGCAGTTTGTTCCTTAGTTTCATTAGTGATGGGTATCGTCGAAAGGCACATGATGTCGTTATTGCTGTTCTTGTTCTTCTTGTCTGTATAGGTGTGAAAATGAATTAATAAATAAACGTCTGTCTAAATACACAGTCGCAAAAGCACAAACACACGTGCAGACAAACGTATACACAGTTAAATTTGTGAAAATTTTCGTATTACTTGTTAATTAAAATTTCATTTAGTTGAAAAATGAAAGAAATGATGAGCCACGAATGAGATAAAATGTGTGAAATTGATAAAAATAATTTAAAGGCGTTTAGCACTGCCTTATATGTGATGGCAGTCGATGGAATAAGAAACTGTTTTAGGAACGGACAGAGAGAGAGAGAGAGAGAGAAAGAGGGAGAATTATCATGTTCAGGTCATTTACGTTCATAATCGGTCAATCCTTTAATAAGAGCAGGGTATTACAAAATATTGAGAGTAAATTAAAATCCCTTTTAATATATGACAGCGTCACGTATGGAAAGCTAGAACTTTTACTGATAGTTAACATTTTTTTCATTGATCAAAGTTTTATCAAACGAAAGCACGCAAACGCCACCACTATCCTGTTAGGACGAAATTTATTTGCTTTTCGGAGAATTTCGCGACACAAGCTAGATGCAGAATTTCTACTTCTTGAAAAGAATAATAATCCGCTTCATCCCGCAATGCATAGAGCTATTGCTTATTGAAGCTAAAGGTTTCTCCCTGGAAAAATTATAAAAACTAATCGTTATCAATATCAAAAACCAATGTTTAGCAATAGATAATTTCCATCCATCTTCCGATAAGATCAAAGTTGTCAACGGATTAGCACTATTTACATATTTACTTGAAGTGATGTACATCGGAGACTTGTCGCTTGTAGTTTGCCGATTATCTCCTTAGAGGGCCCTACAGAAACGAGAATGAATTGTATTTCGCTTAGGCGACAATTCTCTCTCTTAAAACCCGCCAGTTATTTGCACTCATTCACTAAATAATTACGAAATAATTGTTGAAACGAAATGAGCAAAGAAATATAAATTTGAAAGAGGAACTATCTTCTTCTTCTGCCAATCAACAAATCAACAACAGACGATTTAAGTAAAAAAGTAAGAAAAGGAAGTTTTTCTTAGTAGTGCTTAGATAGGTATTTTATGATCGAACTGAAATGTTGTTAAAAGACAAGCAACACCTGATTGCTTCGATTAAACACATGCTATTTTTTCCCTATATTCTTCCCTTATATTCGTAATTAAAAAAAAAAATACATATATACATACATATATATATATGTATATTTTTAAGCTTAATATTAAGCAATCTTAAGAAGAATCTAAACTAGAATACTTATGTGTAGAATTTAAGGTCATTTTTCACGTTCCAGGTAAAGCTTTTAAACCATAACTGCAGCTTTAATAGGGGGACTAGTACAAGCACTGAAACATTTATTATAAATTCGCATTATTCACGAGGATCATCTGGATGTATAAAAAAAAATCCGAAGCATAAAACAGGAAAGTGTCGAGCGTTTTGCGCGATGACATAAGTTATCTTGCCCAAGAGCGCATAACATAGTCTTGGGAAGCTGTGAACATAACTCAAGTTCTGCTGCATAATACAAGCTGAAAATAGGTAATGTTACTTGTCTTGCTTAATTCAAAAGAAAAAAAAAATGCAAAAATTGTGACGGATAACGAAAAATCGTAGTACGGTCTGGAAGGGTAGTAGAACCATTAACATCGATAATAAAATCGAGTATGCTTGACACTTTTATTTACCCTAACGAGATGAGCACACAAAACTATCGCTAACCAGGTTTTACCAACAACAACTGAGGCAGTTGCTGTAATCATTACCCAATAGATTGCGGCCATTTCCTATCTCTCTGCCTTTTCTTGCCTCTTTCTGATAGTGAAATGCATATATATATATGCACATACAGATTTATAGGTTGGGATAAGGAATTATACTTCCGAAACATAACATAAATTTCAGAGACGGTAGCACTGAAATCGAATCTAACCGGGTCTCCGCGTTAGAAATCATTGGCAGGATAGAATGCAGAATGGCCCAAGGCTTAACAACTGCCCGCTCGGTAAGTAGGTTTTACCCATCCGTGTGTTCTTGGCATCTGTATTTCTTTTAGCTGTAACTGTCTGTTGTAGTCGTCTATTGAGTGTCCGTGGAACGAAAATTTAAAGCTTCGTCATATCACCCGAGCTAGCTAGCTCAGCAATGACGCGTGCGTCCGTCTCTACAATCTTCGCTCCTCTTCAAGTGGCACTTAAGAGTAGTCCAAAAAAATATTACAGTCAACAGCTTGATATTCAGACAAACAGTGAGAATATTCATTACACATTTTCTTCGTCCTGACTAATACCAATTTCAAATGATGACCACTCGTCTCTCTAAACAGAGCTGCCCTTCTTGCGATAAGACGGAAAGGAGAAAATCTATGTGTTGCATAGATAGGCAGGAAAGACGACTTATCCTTTCGATACGAGAAATGTAAGAAAAATATTTAGTTGACACTTGACAAGACTTTGAATATAACATTGTTTGCCATTCTCTTGAAATAAGCTCTTAAAACTAAAGCACGTAACGTGTATGCGCTCGCAACATATTTAAAAAACAATGATAAGGAAATCATTACTTAAGTTTAATTTTTGTATTGTTTGTGACAAAATTTGCAAATCCATTTAACTCATTTTCGAATTTATTGTATAGACAAGTCTATCATTAAGTGTTCATGTTAAACTAGTCGGAGAAATAAGTTCTGACACTAAAGTCTTAAAGCACTAGCAAGGTTATGAGCTTGATTGACAACTCTAGCGCACTGTATTTGACATTTGAACCCATGACCATTAATGTTCAAGTTGGGAGCCTTCGCCGACTCGGCTACTCAGGCGGATACTACTATTTTTTAAAAGATTTTTAACCTCGCAATTGCTAGTTTAGAAAAATGCAGTTAATTACGTCGCTTTTGTTGTGCATCTTATTTAAGGATATTTATAGGTTATGTATAGATGGTCTCTGGCGTATATTTTGACAGCCTGCGAAATGTTTATCATAGCTTACGGAGGAGTAATATTACGATTCCTTAAATACGTACTAATTTTATGTTACAGGAATTAGCCGAATCGGGATTTCACATACGCTCTAGAGGACCCATATCTCTTTTATACTGACACCCTTCACTATAGAAGAATCTAGGTTTTTGGCGGACGGAAGACCGAACTGGATTGTTGTTTCCCTTGAGAAGTGGTTCTAAAAAAAAGGGCTGAATACAAATTGCATTTGAGAGACGAAGCATTTGTTCGTTTCTTTCATGTACAAAACTCAGCATCAATTGCCATTTGCATAGCTATTGTTTTATTTATATTTTCCTTTTTATTTCAAAATCTTCTCTATAAAGTTTAAAAGAGAATTCATTTAAAGTGTACACGCATTCATTAATATTCGCGGCATATTATCAATTCCAATAAATTTAGTTCATGTACAATACATAAAAGCAAATTTTTCGAGTATTTGCACAATATGAGATAGGAGAAGTAATTGTTATGAGGAACTTTGTGTGCATTGTCGGTATCGGTTTTTATTGATAATTTTCAAAATGTCACGCCCTTTCCCACATCGAATGGTTAATATACAAAAGTAATATTCATTTTCTTATAATTTATATTTTTGTCATCCACTATTTGATACATATATATATATATATATGGAGTTTGCACCCATATAAGGTAACAAAGACGTGTATAACTTACAAAAATAATGTATTTTATTTACACATTCCCATGCATCATTCGTATAGACAGTTGTCGTTGTAAAGTAATAATAAGTGATTATAAGCTAAAATCCTCATCGAGATAAAAAGTCATTGGCGGCAAGAGTTTCTGAATTTATGATGGCGTCATAAACGAAAGCAATTATATGGCTATCGCTTGTGTAAGACAAAGTAATTCCATTAGTTAAGCATATTTTTTCAAGGCTACGTTAGGAAAGTAGTGCCGCTTCTGTGAACCCTTCACAAACCCTTCTGTTTTTCAAAAATATTTTCTCTAATTTTACGATTGCTGGACAAAGACGATAGCGCAAAACTAAAAATTTCGAGAGGAACAAATTTTATTAAGAGCAAGAGCAAAACATTTGAATTTTGAAAATTTTCAAAAAACATTTCTTGCTTGCAAAACTTTCATTCATTGTGTACTGTGGAGCATTTTTCAACAAAAACCGCATAAATCGCGAGTTTTCATTCGTCATCATCGCAAAACAAACGAGTGAAAGCTTAAACATCAACTTTCCCTTCTCTCTATTCTCTAGATTGAAAGTATTTGTTACCTGAGTTTTAAAAGAGGTCAACAGTTCGGTCGTTTTGTCAGAAATACGCATTAAAGACTTTAATGGCTGCAGGTTTTTGAGCAGCGTAAGCTTCCAAACCTCCTCCTATTTTTTTAATTCTCTTAAGTCAAAACAACGACGAAAAGAAGTTTCCAGTGGGATTGTTTCTGGAACGAATGACTTGTCGGTGTAAATGTATTTCTTTCTTAACTCTTCGAATCCTTGCTTCCATTTAAAAATGCAATAGCATAGAAGAGACTTTGGTCAGCAGATCATTTTTGGTCTTTTTTTACCGAATTTCTTAAAAAAAAAAAAAGAAAAGAAAATCTTTGCTTTAGGCTTTGCTTCGGACTTGATGATCAAGCTTGATCCTTTAGAGAATACAGGTCCGCAGTACATTTTAAATGCTGAACTCATATTATGTAAGAACATTATTGATTTTCATTAAGAAGAAGGATTGTAATAACGACTTTTATAGAAAAGGATTTGTTTGGTTTTGAGGCAAATTGTTTAACGAAGATTCATTCACTCTGCACGTAGTTTGTATATCGTATATACATTCTAAGATATTTTTAAACAATGTGGCAACGTCTTTCGAGTTAATCTGCTAAAGCCTTTTTTTTGTAAGGTTTCTTTAAACCTAAAAATTGAGATATTCAAAGCCAAATTCAAATTATAGAGTCTCTAATTTGAGGAATATGCAAAAATTATCAATGTCAAATTATGTTTGCTTTGAACCCGATCGATTTAGAATCATTTGGTGAATCGATTTAAGCTTGTCTGTCTGTCTGTCCGATGTCTCTCCACGTATTTTGGTCTTCAATCTACACATAGCCATTTTTAAAATATTTTCGAGAACGAACCCTATGGGAAATGGATTGGATCGAGCACTCCTCATATAACTTTTCATTTCAAAATTACGAAAATATTTCGACAAAAACTGGTAAGCAAGAGTATTTTGGCATTCTAAATTGATGAGAAAAGTTTGGATCGAATGGAGCAATTTTTTGAATCACTTCCATTACAAGAATTAAGTGTTAAGACTCGCGACTGCCAAGTCTGTGTGCCATAGAGTTTACTTTTCTCGTAGTTACATTGAGTGCTCAGTCGGTGAAGGCGTAACACTTATCGATTCGACACACTTACACTAGGCTACGAACGATTCCTTATCTCTTTCTCTTTCTTCACTTTTTTCTGACCATCACCGTATTACGCGAATAGGGCACATCACATGAGTGCTTGGTCATATAAAAAAAAAAAAAACGTTCCTAAGAAAACTAAGCATTCATGTCACAAAAACTTCTAATTTTCAATATTTTATGGAAATAAATTGCACCAAATTCAGACCACATAGATGTGGTTTTTGAAATCCACCCCATATAAAAATAAGCCCGTCGACAGCAAGGAGCGTCCATGTTTAATATTTTGTGAGGAAAATAGGTCCTTAATAGAAAATGGAGGAAAGTGAATTAATTCTACTAAATTTGAACCATATGGATCCATATTTTTGGCCTCATTCCCCTTAAGGATTTCCATGAAAAATTACACTTTATGTTGCACAAAAGGTTAATTTTCAATAGTTTATATATATGCACGCAGGTCGGATCATATACATCCATCTTGCCTTTATGTGGAATGAATATATATTCGTCATAAACTCTCCGATACTCCGATTTGTACATATTGCAGTTACTTAAAAAGGGTAACGTACATCCGATATATGATGGCTATAATACGAAAATTTGTGCTCACATAGCTAACCTTTTATTTAACCTAACTTTATGTAAACTTCAATACGTATTATTAATATAAATTTATGATATCAGTTGACATAATGCGATGACTTCACACTAATACGAAGTGTTGTTGTAAAAATAAGAAAAAAAAAAAAAAAAGAATAAAAATTAAGAGAATTTTCATCGCATTAGTCAACAGAAAAATTATGCGTAAAGAAAATGATTGAGGCGGTGATTAGGAAAACACATTGACAACGTTTTGAGATCATGGATGACATAAGTTAGTTATTATTCATAAACCGCATTCAAACTAACCAAGCGTGTATTCTTCATCGCTTTGAACAATGAAATTTCAGTTATTTGTAGCAATTACTTTATTAATATATTTTATTAATTTTCATATATTAATGTATATATATATACATATATATATGTGTTTAGCATACTTATTTTATATGAATTTTTTGAAAATACTAACCGCCTTAGCGTATTTACAAGACATAACATATAAATGTTATTGTGTTGTTTTTAACACTTGTTGTTACTTTTCACTCACTCGCAATATTTATTCACAACAGATATTGCTCGGTTTATTTTTTTTTTTAATTTTTCATTTATTTATTTACTTTTCTTCTTTTAATTTTTTTTATTTTATTTATGCGGCTTTGACTTTGCAAAACGAACTCTCTCAACTGACTGGCAGTTAAAGAATTTACTTGACTTTCTATTGCCTAACAGCTCAAGTCAAGCAAACATTCATTCAAAAAAAAAAAAAAAAAAAAAAAAAAAAAAAAAACAAAAAAAATGTAAAATATCCCCAGTACGACACAACTTTACCAACGAACTATTGGAGAGTAAACAACACTAGACTTCATACAATTCTTAGCGTAACGGGATGAGGTAGATATTCGCGCCGCTACTAACAAAACCCTCTTGTGCTTTATATCCCTATCTCTATCTCTATGTATATCTCTCGCTCTCTTTTGCTGTTTTCGTTTGCTTATCTAAAAAACTGTAGCGATGTGGGTGCAAATTTGTAAATATTATAATATCACAGAATGGATACGAGTTTCTATTAAAGATATTGAAAGCCTTTATTTGGCTGATTGGCCGGCATCACTAACATCTTTAAGTAAAATTATGACATAATAGAATATTAATACCAGCTGTTGAAAATATAACAATTATGGCCATTCCATACCATATATATTATATAAATATATATATACATATATATATATATATGTATACATATATATGCATTCGTTATACAAATTGTATACAAAAGTTCAAACCGACTATTTTCTATATTTATGTTTTTATAGTGATATTTTTACTTATATTAATCCTTGTGTGTGTTATTAATTTTATTAAAAATAAGTCAACTCTAGATTATAGATGGCTCCTGGCCACACCACATTTTCGTTAGTCCGTCAAATTTTAAGGTGGACGTCCTCCTAGCTTTATTTTATTTATTTTAATTTTTTTTTTTTTTTTTTTTTTTGTAAGATGGAAACAAAATAAAAAGATTTAACGATAGTAGATTAAGTTAAAAGATGTTACCTGTCAACGCCTATCTCTTCACAGCGAACTAAAATTTTCTTGAATTAATTACATTATTTCTATGCAAGTGTGTGTGTGTATTTTAACATTCTTTTCAATCCAGGCGAAATCTATGGCTACATCTATGTAGCGTCAGCGTACTGCCCCAACTAGTGGCCCTGCGGAAAATCACAATAGAATTGCTTTCGCATTATCCTAAAACGGATTCTTATTGATCACTCATTCGTATTATACAATCTTTGTGTATCTGCCAATCGTAATAAAATCAAAACCCAAGTTAAGGAATTATTTTTAATAACAAAAAGGCCTCCCTCCGGCCATTTTAATGATAAAAAGGGGAATTGACGAAAGGCATCCCCTTTGGCCTATATAAATCCCTATACTACAATAAAATCGAGAATTTTCTCTATAAAATGATAATATAAAAAGGATTTGACGGAAGGCTTTTTACCCTTTTTGCCTATACTTATTGAACATATATCCACGGATGCCTAGCGGTAATGGTGGTAATTGATCAACTGCGCTTGTGGAAACCTTATGGTGGAAGCAAGCGCATTTTTCTTTCCACTTTTTGAACGCATATAGTTAATCAATTTGTGAGCCCTGACTACTGGGTACGGCCCTTAGGGGAGTACTCGTGGTGGTTGTGGTTGGCAGTTCCAAGCCAAAGTGGAACAATCGAGTGCAGCTAGGCGTCACCACTGACCAGAATGGGGTTTATTGATCCATACGCAATAAACCGTTCTGGACTCTGATCCTGCTTAGGGCCCTACTCTGTGGGGATTGTCTAACTCGCCAGGGTGCGTATATTACGCTTAAAGTGGCTTGGGCCACCGTGGGGTTAAGCCTTTCAGGCAGCAACCCACGTTAAACCCATGCCACAGAATCTGTAACTGCCAATTTCTCTATCGCTGTGTACATTTAGTTTATGTTTTTATATATATTTGTATATGCATCAATGTCTATATGTCGATACTTCTTCTCATTGACCGCTTCGCATTATCTTAGGATGGATTCCTATTGATCGTTCAATCCTACTGTATAATCTATTCTTATCTGTCAATACCTCTAAATCTCTTCCTACATTTATTTCTATATTTTCATCCATATTTATATCTGCATCAATATTGGTATCTATACATTTCTTCTCAATGACGTTATGGTAACGCGTTAACAACTAGTGTTCGTAGGATCACTGTGGGAAAAAATCGCTCTAAAGCCGCTCTCGCATTACCTCGAGATTGGTTCTTATTGATTGTTGATCCTCACTGCATCATCCCACGTATCCCGTGCTCGCATGAAATTAGGAGTTCGCATATCGCCCTTGTGTGGCTTTCCGTCAACATGATCGTTAATAGGTTACATGGTGTAATTTTTATCTCCAAAGATCTGGTCAGCATGTTTCTCAAAGAAACTCAAGCAGGACAGGCAAGCACAGTGCTCTCCTCATCTTCGTTTCTTCTTCGTTATCTGCTCATAGATTAAAATGATAGTGATAACTTGAGAAGTTTCCATGGCCAGTCTAGAACTTGGGCTTCGAAAAACTTTCGCTGTTGCCTTTTTGTTTCTCACCTATTGCTCAAGTTCGTCGATTAGGCTGTGGACTCACATTACTTTCAAATCCTTGTTGCCACTCTGTTAATAAATTTTGTGAGATAGTTGTACTCAATTTGCAAACGACATCGTTAGCTTGTTTTTTTTTTCCTTTTTCTTTCTTTATCCCTAGGTATGCATATATCTAACTTTATACCTATGTATAACATTTATATGTACGTCTGCATTTCTATTTTAAAATATTGAAAATTTGTAAACTGTCTCATGATATCGAAATGTGCTCATTTTGGCATACCCTTTACATGTAAAGTATGTATATGAATTAATATCTATTTTGAAAAAAAAAATATTGCTTTGATTAGAAATTGCATTTAATTGCAATTTTTTTGCTTTTGTTTTATTTATCAATTAATCGATCTATTGACTTTGTAACAAGTTATAGGTGTATACACATACATGCATACATATGCGCTTACACACATATATGCAGTGTATATCTTCTTAAGGACGACCTTTCTCATAAATTTGTATACCTATTTAGCAATGTTTGTGTGACCCCACCTTTGCAAAAATCCGGTTGAGTTTAGAAGCTTGGCTTAAAAATATTTCATAAGGAAAATGGTCAGAATACGTAAATAACTGGACCATCGCATATCATACAAAAACGTAGCATACTTTCAAGCTGAGCTTTAGCTTTAGCTCAACATCTGAGCTTGTTAGTAGGTGATAGTGTCAAAAGCAGAATACCTTAAGTATTTAAAAGGTCAAAATTGCTATAGTCGTCTGATTTCATTCATTCTCCACCTATTACTTTTTATTCCATTTCTATTTATTTATTGTTTATTTATATCTATATATACATATATATCTATATATATACGTATAAGTATATTGAAAATATTTCTAATAAAATACGATATACGATGCAAGATGTACTTTTGCTAGGTACTAAACTGTCGACTTTAGCTAAAATTAAGAATTTCATGTTTTGTATTTAATACATTATTCATGTGCATGTGTTTACATACGCTTGAATACATTAAACAATTCGCTCTATTTTCATTTTCGTATTTATTGCTTTATTTATTGCATTTTGACATTTGTGATTACTTATAATTTTCAATACATATACATATTTTAAAGCGGGAATATGCTTTGTTCTCTCTTCTATATATGACAGTTTTTGATTTTACACGACATCAAACGCGTTTAAACGGTTAAAAGATAAGGTTAACGTTTACTTCAATCATTATTGTTTCATTGACTTTATCTGGGCATGTATCTGCTATTAAATAACATAATTATATATGAGGTCTTATCAAGCAAATTTTTATTTTTATCTTTATGACTGTACTGTCTTTATTTATTTATTTATTTTATTTTTTAATGATAAAATATAAAACGAACAAGTTCAAAAGTAGTCTACTACACGCTACACTCTATTCCTTATTACCTACCTTTTTTGTAAATTACTTATTAAATTGTATTTGTTTTTCTTCAATTTTTTTTTTTTTTTTTTTTTTTTGAATCGGGGAACCGAGATAAACACACCGGATAAGGGGTAGTGGACGCCAGTAGTACTAGAACCGGCTGAATAAGTATTAAGAGCGTATACGATTCAACTCATTCAATCGATAAACGAAAAAGATAAGCGTCCCTAAGCGTTAATACTTAGAAATTGTATTTCATTATTATAAAATTTCTACCCGTCAACCGTCAACAATAATCGTAAAGATTACGAACTGATTATTAGATGAGTCATGTATTAATAGGAAATTTTTATTTTAATACTTATGCCACTTTTGAAATGAACGCTTTAAATTTAATATTAAAAATGTGATTTAATGTGCGAATGTTATATTTGTATTTCACATCATAAAAAAAAAAAAATTGCAAACGAAAAATTCGAATCACATATTACAAAGTATCAGAAACGGCATAGGGAAGCTTCAAAAGAAAAGCCATAAACAAATTTCTGCCTTTTGGAAAAAAGCAAAAAAAGCTCTTATAATCTTAAAACGAGTTTTGCATATCTATCACATCACGTAGAAAGTATTTAATAATAAAGACTCAGTCATAATGTATGACCTAAAAAAAAGCAAAGAATTTTAGTCAATACATGAAACGTATGAAAGAATCGTGTTCATCCAAGGACTTGCTCTACGAATGTATTAACTCAATTTTAATGGCTTCAATAGGAGGAAAATTACGGACCAGCAGAACTATAAAATATCAGGTGAGACCACCTCATCTTGATCAAACGAGTATAGAGATTCCAAATCGCATCTATGGACATCGAATACGAGTAGAAAAAAAAAGTTATTCCATTCAGTTATATAATGGAAATATTCTTTTAACAAAAATGAAAAGGTGTTAAAAGGGTGCAAGTAAACATAACCTGCAAGACGACAAACCAGCTATCTTAACGAGGCCTTTTAAACCCTTAATAAATTTCTGTTAAATAAAGTCCCGAAAAGACTCAAACAAAACAAGAATGTGAAGCTATATTTAAATGTAACAAGCAAGAGGACAAACCAGCAATGTTAACAGAGGTCTGTTAAACCAATAACAAATTTCTCTTAAATAAAATCCAAGTTGGTGCAAAACCCAAAAGGGCATCAAGTTATACTAAAATATAACTTGCAA